AAAAAAAATATTTGTTCTAATCTTTGACTCTCATCTTGGTCTTTCAGAAAACGTTTGAAAAGTCACTTTGGAAAGTTTTTGAAGTTTTGAAATTGGAAACTATGATACACAAAATACAGTGCTCTGCGATATGTTTATAGCATTATATTGAAAAACATATTTCGTTTTTGCGTACAGTTATGTCAAAAATCACCTTTATAAGCGATTAATCACGGATTTGTGTGTAAATGTCGAACACGCTCCTCGGTCCCCGCCCGCTGTCTCTCACAATTCGCAAAAAGCGCCGCATGCAACATTGATGTCATGAAATGGACAATACCCCTTTCATGGTAAGAACCCGTCTGCTAGTTACCTGCACTGAAAACTATAAATTATTCATTAAGTTGGGTTGTTTCGGGACATTCATCGGCCCCAACAGCTCACGGCTCATATCCATTACTGAGCTAATTATAGGTTTAGCGGATAGATTAGCTAATTTAGGGTTATGCGTGGTCGTCAATAGCTCAGTGAAGATTAGAATGTTGTTTTCATGGAATTTGTCTACACTGCTTCTGAGGGTGCAGCAAATGGCATCGAGTCAATGAGCGCTTATTCGCTGCATTCAATACTTCCAGTGAACTCCCGAGAATGCGATGGCGCAATAATTGTTTGGTCAGCGGGTGACTCGTCGGATTATAGCACGCTGATGGGCGCTCGTCGTCATGTCAGCGTCTCCACCTCTCCACCCTTCTCTCAGCGGTCATTTATTATCGCGGCATAGTATCGCTCAAAAGAACACAACTCGCTCGCTACTTCGTTGTCGCCTCATGTCGAAAACATTGGGCGAAGTTGTCGCTGGCACAGAGTTACATGAGAAGCTAGGCAAAGGACATTTTGTTGCACTTTAGCGGCGGTCTGTGGTCTCTGGGAGGTGCCCATCTCGATTGCGAAGTTGCATGAAAAAAGCATGAGATAAAAAATGAAGACAGCGACTACTAGGTCGGGATACTTGTTCGCATTTTCATTCTCAATGTTAAGCACAAGTCCTAACCCTAGATAAATCATGCATTTTTCGATTCTTGTTCGCGATGCTACTCTTATCTACTTCACTTCAAGTTTATCTAATGATTATGGCAGCACAGATTCTACATTAGACATGGTCTTAAATGTGGTAAATTTCGAAACTATTAGATGCAGTTTGTGATGATGTTTATCAAAGTGGTAGGTTTACTTGCAATCACACTCTCTTCATTCTCGTATGCTCAGTGTAATAATCTAGGATTATATCGACTGCTGTTGTTAGTAATTGGCTAACCATTTCTCTC